AAAAATTAAAAAAAAAAAAAAAAAAAAAAATAGAAGAATCGTACCCTTGACAAAGGTGATATTGAGTTCACAAAGAGGACTGATGACAACAGTGCGAGAGAGATCAGCACCAGAGGGAAAATGAAGAGAGCCAGCATGGTGATTAAGTGTGGCGGCGCGAGATCCAAATGGAACACCAGAGATATCGTACTGAATGAGACGGTAGACATCCACAACAGTGGCGGCGTCACAGAACTCGACACAGGCGACAAGAATGAAGACGAGAGCGAGAACAGGGTAGAAGGATTCGAGCACCTGTCGCTCGCGTGCTTTAGGAGGAGCCATGGATACAAGATCTGGAGGTCAGTTGGAGATTTGTGAAGTAGAGCGATGAGATTTGAGGGAATTTGAATACAATAAAATTGGTCAGACTACTGTAGGGTGTGCACATGGAGATTGAATCAGCTCGCGCCTCTTGCTGCTGTTCTTGCCGGATGCAGACCGGATGCTTACACCACCTGACCTTCACCCCAACGCCCGCACCTCTCAGCTTCTTATATAAAATAAATGCTTTCTTAATAATTAAATTATAATTTAGCCCTTAAATTTAAAATTTTGCATAACATATCTTCTTAAAATTTTAATTTTAAATTTAATAAATATTTTACATTTTTTCTAATTCATTCCATTTAGAGCACAATTCTGCTGGGAGGAGAGTTGGTTTGTCCCGATGATCGACCCTGCCCAGACCATTGCGACTTTAAGGACCTCTCTGTAACGGTGACAAACTTTTGTTTAGTCCGATCTTGGCTTGTTTCATTACAGTCATTCATTCTTTGTTTGATTCTTCAGGCTTCTTCCAATCTACTTGACATAATTTTCCTCTACTTAAAGTATTCTGCAGTATGTTCCTCTTTTCGTGGTTCTTTAGGTACGTCTTTCCCATTGATCACCATGACTTGTCCTATCGCTTCGGAGCTTTTGATGGATTTTTCTAACAAAAACGATAATAAAAATACAATGGATTTTTAATATTAAACTTGGAACCATAATATATAATATGATAGAGGCCGATGATTATGCTCAACTTGATGCTTCAACACAAGAAGAAGGATATGATTTTTTCTAGTACATCCTAAAGTTAAACTGGCTATTCATGCTCTCCACATTTACGTACTTGAACACATGTGCCACATGTTGTCGAATGATCGACCTTATAAACTTAATGTAGTTAGAATCATAACCATTTAGGTCAAAGGATCGACATCAAACTGTGTATTGGATGTCGTGATTTGACCTCATAAAGCATAGGAGTACATGTATTTAGGAGTTCAAAACGTCAAACTTGTGCCTTTGTCCTTTTTTGTCCACTCTGCATCCCATTACTTATTATTACACTTCCTCTCACTTTCTGACCACCCTGAACATTTTCAAAACACTCCCATTATTTTCAAACTCATCAAACTATGGTATGCATTATCAGACTGTAACGTACTCCATCGTTCGCCACCCGATGTCGAGTTGTCTCTTCGCTCCAATTGCTGCTTCGATGAGTATCTAGCGAGAGGGAAGACCGAGAGGAAAGATCTATGCTACTCGAGGTCTTTGACAAGGAGATCCACTATCACCTTTTCTTTTAATAATGATAATTGATTGTCATAGTTGCTTACTCACCAAGACAGAATATAAAGGACAGATAAAGAGCTTTTAGGTTGGTAATGAAGGCTTAAGTGGTTAGGATCACACAACTACGCACACACTCTATCTAGATGAGCACAAATAATAAGAGAGACAAAATGCAAGGAGAATATTGGCTAAAAGATTTGTATCGATGACTCCAAGTAGAGAGAATACATAAAGTACAAATCCTTAAGCTAATATTCTACTTGCATTTTCTCTCTCCTCTTCTTTGTATTCATCTAGATTGAATGTTTGCGTTGTTGTGCGATCCTAACAAATAGTATCCGAGTAAGACCTACGATCTGTGAAGATGAAAATTTCAAAGATTGGAATTGAAAAGTTTGATGGATCGAAGATTATCTATATTAGAAAGGTCTTTACGAACCCCTACTGGGGGTGATGCCGGATACCATGACCACAGAGCAGTGGAAGCTCAAGGATCGACAAGCCTTAGGGCTGATCCGGTTGACGCTATCCAGAAACGTGGCGTTCAACATCATCAAAGAGAAGACAACGTCATATCTGTTGAAGGTGCTGTTGAATATGTATGAAAAACTGTCGGTTCTGATACTAGTTGTTAGGATCGCACAACAACGCACACACTCGATCTAGATGAATACAAAAAAAACTATGAGGTAAATCTAAAGAAGAGCATAAACCGAATGGAAGAACTGAAAAAAAAAAAGAAAAAAAAATGAAGATGGACATGGAGGCGAGCGCCATGCTAGCTGGAGGGTGCAAAGGCGAGTGACTCATTGAAGGTGCCAGCCTGACATACAACCCAGGCGCTCAAGATGCGCCTCACGCTGCCCCTTGCCAAAGGCAAGTACCTAGGTACACCTTGAAATAACTGAGAGAAGTAATCCCTCTCACGCTCCTCAACAGTATAGTAACCCCAATTAAACGAACAAGCAATACTGGATCCAAATGATGCATCATCCTTACACTGAAGTTCAAATGAGTCAATGCAGTAAAGTAAAGAATTTCAGAAACCCCATCATGCATCCAAAAACAAGACGAAAATCCTCATTTAACAGAAAAATCATAAAGCCTTACTTGATAGTCAATAACTACAGAAACCTTCACACATTCAGTATGAGTTGCATGAACATCTTTAACTACTAAAGCACAATGTATCAGAGGGAACCACAGGAAAACAAGGGCTTAAATTAAATACATTTAGTCTATAAACAGTAAACCAAGAAATTGATCAATTTATTTGTACCATTCTAACAACAACCTTACCAACGGACACATAACAAGACTTCTGCTCATCGGCACTGTATGTGATCTACATGCACTGTATGTGATCTTGTAGATGAAGGCCGTGACCCAATGAGGAATGTCATAGGTTTATAAGTTAGGATTACTATCTCCATTAGTATGAGGGAAGGCGCGCGTCGCCCTGGTCAAGATGGACCCCATGATGTGTTTGTTTTGAAATGCATTTCATTAACCACTTGAGCTATTGAACTTGACTATTGATAAGATTGTCTCCTTTGCAATGATATACCACCGATGGCTTCAACTTGGCTCTGATAGATATTGTTTTTTGCAAATTCTTTTCACAGTTTATGGAAATCGTTTGATGGGGAGAGAGAAAAGTTGTTGGAAGAAAATAAAAATGCTTGCAATTTGACTTTGCTAAAGAAGAGGTGATCTTTTCTTCACAACAGATTCAACTATTAAATAATTAACTATCAAAAATGGTTTGAGAGTGACCAACTAAATCTAGTCATTTCCTTCAAAATGCACACTTACAAGATTGGTAATTCATTTGACGTGTTTGTCAAATGGTCAAAGGAAAATATTTAATCAACTAAGGAAACCAACCTCAGGCTTTTATCTAAAAGACTTGCTCTCTCTCTATTTGCAGCATCCAAAAACCCCGCAATAGTAGGTTGTTCCTGAACTGTCTCTCAAACCTCGTGGTCTTTAAAAGCTTGTTGTTGTTGTTGAAGTTGTTCAGGGCGAGAGGATGAAGAAGCAGGGGCAGAAGGCCGGCTGGCGTTTGCAGAAGAAGAAGAACCGGCAGAGGAAGCCCACAGTACAACAACCTTAGTCATGATCCGGGAGAGGAAATGTTAAGAATGAGAAATAGAAATAGAATTGGGATCGAAAGTATGATCTTCATTCATGTTTACTAAATAGGATACAAACTATCAACTAATACCTAAAAATAAGAAAAATATATAACTAACTAAATCTTCTAAATAAATAAAATATACTGTTAATCAAATCTAAGATAAAATATACTACTGACAAATCCCAAAATATCTTAGATATACTCCCTAAATAATTATTAAAATATATCTCCAAATATTCTATCTTAATACTCCCTCTCAAGTTGGAGAGTGTATGTCAATCACACTCAACTTGTCCTTCAAAAAATCAAACTAATGTCTTCCCAATCCATTTTAGTCGAAACATAACACGGTTTGATGATTCCAGCTTATAACTTTTCTCGAACTATATGACAATATATTTCAACGTGTTTCGTACATTCGTGAAAAACTAGATTGGCTGCAATATGTAATGCTGCTTGATTATCACAATATAATAATGTTGGTTCGGACAGTGGAACATTCAAGTCTTGAAGAATGTATCTTAACCAATTTAACTCTAAACAAGTATTTGTCATAGCTCGATACTCGACTTCTGTAGATGATTTGGACACATTAGTCTGCTTTTTAGACTTCCAAGAAATAATTGAATTTCCGAGAAAAATGCAGAACCCAGAAATAGACCGTCTAGAAGTTCGACAACCACCCCAGTCATAATCGCAATATGCTTGCAATCTTAAATTGTTTTCAGATGGTAGTAGGAGTCCTTGACCACGAGTGTCTTTGATGTATCTTAGAACTCGAAGAGCTGCCTCCCAATGTAGTTTTCTTGGTTCATGCATAAATTGACTAAGCATACGGACTGAATAAGCTATGTCAGACGGTCAAATATATTAATTTGTCAATCAACCATCTGTATTTACTTGGATCATTCAACTTCTCTCTTTCAGTTAAAGAAAGTTTCAGATTTTGCTCCATAGGAAATTTGTCTGGACGTGCTCCTGTAAGACCTGTGTCTTGAAGGATGTCTAGAGCATACTTCTTTTGAGACATAAAAAATTCCTTTTCTAGACCGAAAAAATTCAATGCCTAGAAAATATTTCAAATTTCCTAAATCTTTAATAAGAAATTTTTGGAGTAAACTAGTCTTGAGATTCTTTAAGATCATTGTCTGTCAACAAAATATCATCAACATAGATTAGAACTGCAGTGAAAGAAGTACTTTTACTCTTAGTAAATAAAGAGTAATCTGCTTTGGACTGAGTGTAGCCTGCATTTTGTATAGTTGTAGAAAATATGGAGAACCAATTGCGAAAAGCCTGTTTTAATCCATAAAGAGATTTATGGAGCCGACATACTGTATTCTCTCCCTGTCGGCGAATACCTGGTGGTAAAGACATATAGACTTCCTCGTCTAGATTACCATAGAGAGGCATTTTGAACATCCAACTGATGGGTGAACCATTTTCGAGCAGCAGCAACTGTGAGTAAGCAACGAAGTAGTAAGTTTCGCTTTAGGAGAAAATGTTTGTGTAATCAATACCTTCAACCTGATTGTATCCCTTTGCTACAAGTCGAGTTAATTATAACAGGTCTTTCTCACTCAAAATAATATTTAAAATATAACTTTATTGAAATATTAAAACTAAAATTAACATTAGTAGTATAATTTATAAATAGAATGTTTTAGAAAATAAAATTTCAATGAATTATAATTTTCGCCCAAATCCACCGTTATTATATTTCAAATCATGTCAATTATTTTAATTTGGTTTTTATATTTCAAATAAAATTTCAAGAAAAATGCATTTCTTGATTTTATTTTTAAAATTAAGTTTATTTATATATTAATAGTTCGTTTTATAATAAATTTGCTAATTAATTTAATTTTCAAAAATATACAAAAACAAAAAAAAAAAACAAAAAAAAAAAAA